TACAAAAGAAAGATTTCAAAATTCTTGTTCACTTTTTATTAGTAATATTTCAGGGTTTTTATTCGTTTATTGTCCTAAAGATGGCGACTTGATTCTCCTCGATTTAGGCCACTGAGACATTGAAGAGTTCGGTGCTATTCTTCTATCAAACCAGAAAAATCAACTTACACCATAGAATCGTGTAGAACATTGTTGAAGTAAACGAAAGGTATATCCCGTAAATCGCTGCAATGTGGACATAAGACAAGAATATTACATGAATCCAAACGATATCCCATTTGTATTCTGGCACTTCCCGAACTGTTAATTGTTGCTCATTTGGGTTTACAGTGACACATTTCTTCTCGTGAACATTCTTCTCCGAATGTTGTAAATGGAATATCTTCACCATATGAAGTTGGTGCCATGCCATTGCAATGAGGAAACTTTTCGAAAGTTAAAAACATATTATTTATATAGTGTACTGATTTTTCATCCTGGAGTGTAGATAATAATTTCAACACTTACTTGACTGCGCGGATAGGTCTTAACAGATGGAGAATATTGTTAATTGAAGACACTCCGATCTTTATACTTTAAGCACTGATGGATAAATGACAGGACATGTTCCGAAGTGGTTCTAATATAGTGTAACAGGTAGAAGCGAAAATACTAACTCACAACAAGCACATTAGAGAAATTATAATTTTTAATTACATATTCCGAGCCAATTTATGTACAAACAGTGTAGCGGCTGTATATGCAGTGGCGATCTCAGGGATAAAAGTGCACAGGGTCGTGAAAAATATCCGCGATTCGGTCAATGTAGGCGCCTTTTGTATGGAAATGAAATCTAACGCTGATGTTCGTTATTCCTAACTCCGTCACATTCTATTTTGTTTGCTTATTTCGTTACACGACTCGGCCAATAGTGACATCAAGGTAACGCTGGGACAGTGTTTCGAGGGAGAAAATATAGCAGTATTGACTTTACGTAATTTTAAATAACAAAAACTTAAAAATAAATTAGATGAAGGGTCGTATAGATGTTACTTGTTTTCAACAACCCTTGTAGTTTTCCTCCGTATTTAAGGGATCTTACTTAACAGTGTGAGGGAAAAAGGGTTTAAAAATTGCTGCAGCGATCTTTTGGCGGTTTGAGAGTTTGACAGGGCTGTTATTCTAAGGTCTACCATATTGCGTCCTGTAGGCTGTATCCCGGGCTCCCATCGCTGCATTCCCTGAGTTTTGGAAAAGAGGGATATGTTTACCAGGTGCACAAATTTGGTATTCATCATCCTCCAAAGTTGTGTAGTGTAAAGATAGAGACAAAGTGAAGTTTTCCAAATACATAAGTTTGATGCGTAGACATCTGTGAAAGGGATATTGTGTAGGGATAAAGAAAAAGGCGAAGGTTTGGAATGTGACTTCGAAGGGACTACATAACTCTGGTCAGTCCTTGAGCGAATTGAAGAAGAGGCGCACAAGGATTTTTTGTAACTACAATGCCTATAACAAGCACGTGGCGATACTGAATCACCATACGTACACATTTATTGGGCGAGAGCCGTGAATGAACATTTGCCTTAGCACCTGTTGTCGTGATAGGCATCACCACATACCCCTTTTATCTCATTTGGGGATCATTAAGTGGAGGTCTTTTCCGAGGTTGCATCCAATCTTCCGCCTTTTCTCCGAATCTAAAACAACCTCCTGTCTATGCACCTAAATTATGTATCCTGAAAATCCTTTTTTTCTTTTAACTGTCCAGTTTTCCGTTTAGATGCCAAATTTATGCATCCGGTGACTAAATTCACCTTTTCGAAAAATACAGGGATTGCCGTTGTGGAATTCCAAGGTTACAAAGCTACGCCCCCACCAAATTGCTGCAGCCCTCAGTTCTACCAAAATCCCTTTCCCCCACTCCTTTACAAAATCCTTTAAATACGGAGGTAAAACGGAAAAGAGGAAGCAGTTTTTATTTAAACGAGCAACATTGCGACGTTTGTACTAAAACATTATACTCAGTTCAACTAAATAAAAACTTGTGCTACAAAACCAGTGAGACTTCTTCCCTTGAAACACACTCTCAGAGTCACCTCGACGACACTGTGAACTTTTAAATCAGAAGTCATAGTTGTTTTCCCTGAAGTACATCCGTGTGCAGTAGTATACAATGTTTCACGTTCTAATTTCTTTAATTACACTGTGGAACAAATTTTAACCTACGTTGTTTTTTACAATAACCACTAGGTGATTATTATAGAGTTCCTTACCCTAAATACGAATCCGAAAACCAAATTGCTGGGTCACGTCCAGTTTTCGAAAAAACTGCGTTTTTGTAATAAGGGTCGCATTTTTTAGAAAACCAAACATTACGTGAAATCATTAACGTGCATGTCATTAAATGTTTGTAAATGAGGATCAAAGTTTAAAGAAAAGTAGATTCATTGTATGCACTTCTGGTACATTTCTACGGAAAGTGTATGTATAATGATATACTGTAACATGAATCATACAAGTTCACAGCCGATCGGCCCAGCAGCATTCTCGGTAGGAACTACTCTATCTGCGATAATGATGGTTTCCAGGTCCACTAAATGAAATTAATGAAATTGATATTTTTTTTATTACCAGTTTATATTTAGCACGTGTGGCATCGCTTTGTATATATACACATTAGTAATTAATCCAATAAGTTATTAATCCATGTTATGCCATTCCCCTGTTTGAGTCCATCACTGTTCTCGATTCCCTTACGTTCCATTCAAAATTCCGTACCTGTCCATTGTTTCTGATAAATAGAGATAGAGTAAGATCAGATCAGAATTAATGATAATTAAATGCGTGCATTATGTACAATTGAAGAATATTTAATCGAACCGAAAGTAAACCAGAGCACATTTAGATCTGGCCGATAGCGTGTACGTTAAAGAGTATTAGTAGACTGAATCTTTGTTGTGTTCCTATAGAGATTCCTTCATTTTCCAGAGATTAAATTAAATTAAAATTTCCAGAATGTAAATTCAAGTTACCACCAATACAATTTAAAAAGAGTTACATTCATATGCTTAAAATGGGAATTGATCACGTTAATATTTGTATGTTTAAATATTAATAATAATATTAAATAAAATAACATTTAAAGTAATATATTAATGTTTAAATTATAAACTTCCAAAAAATTGATTTTTCAGAAGGTTTTAAATTTCCGAGAAATCACATTATGTAATTTAAGTAATTATTCCATATAAAACATTTTATTATGAAGTGATCGTCGTACATGCTGATAATAATAAAAATTGTATCATATGAAAAACACGATACGAAAAAGTTATGTGGCTGTAATGTAGATATTGATTATATTAAATGATTACATTAAATAGTCAAAATAAGATTGCCCACGGAAGATCAGTAAAGTCTTATCTTTGTCTATATAAATAGTAATACACGGTGATGAAGCGTAGATAAAGTGATATGCTCAGTCGTAACAGTCAGTTCATTGTTGAATTATCCTCAAATATTGTTCAAATATTGTATATCATTTAGTGTAACTACATACATAAGTACCATATATGTCATCTGTTGTCTACAACGTAATATCTATCCCCACCGCTCAAATGATTAGTTCGTTCATTACTGAAGACTGCGTCGCGCTATTAATGTGTTTAAAATCATTTCATATTTGATTAAAAACAGTAGTTGTATACATTCGCATGTAGTGTTTAAATATAGTGAACAGGAATGACATTTACTTTAGTGTAATATAATTAGTAATAAAGTGAATTCCATAAAGTGCATAAGTACATAATTGACATAATGTTGTATTCTGTAAGAATACTTATTGTTACATGGTTCATGCAAGTACAGTTTGTGATGTCGTTGGACACCACTACAAAGCAGGAAGTTAATGAATGTCAATTATCACCAAAGTTATTACAAGAAATTGAATCATATGGTCCACTGATACAAACTATAATAAATGAAACATTGGCAGGTTCTTTTGCAGGAGTCACATGGCGTGAATTAGCCAAATTTGTAGATAAATTTGGCCCAAGGTTCACAGGCACAGAAACACTTGAACAATCAATTGATTATGTTTTAAATAAGTCAATAGAATTTGGTTTGGAAAATGTACATGGAGAACCTGTGACTGTGCCTCATTGGATTAGGTACAGTTTGAAACCATTGAATTATATATATACAAAAGTAATTTTAGAATATTTTAATTGTCTGAAGTAATTATTTAATATTATTGTGTGCATATTTAGGTTTAATAGAGTTGTTAATGAATAGTGTACTATAATAATATACAAGTGATTATTTTTTAGAGGAGAAGAATCTGCAACCCTTTTGCAACCAAGACGGAAGAATATAGCTATTCTAGGATTAGGTTACAGCGTTGGTACTCCACCTGATGGAATAACTGCAGAAGCTATTGTTGTAAATAGTTTTAAAGAACTCGAACTAAGGAAAGACGAAGTATGTTTTTCTAAAACTATAAAATTTGTAAATAAATTAGTAGTTTTCTTTATTTTGCATTACATTGTAATATGTTTTTTTTGTAGGTACCAGGAAAAATTGTTGTATACAATCAGAAATATATTTCGTATGGTGTAACTGTGGAATACAGAAGTAGTGGAGCATCGAAAGCAGCTAAATATGGTGCAATTGCTGCATTAGTTAGATCAGTTACACCATACTCATTATATACACCACATACAGGTATGCAGAGTTATACAGAAAATGTGAAGAAAATTCCAGTTGCATGTATTACAGCTGAAGATGCAAGTTTGTTACGAAGATTATGGAAACGGGGTAACTACAAGTTTACAATATTTGTTCACTTTTGGAACAACCAATTAATAATAGTAAACATATTTTTGAATCATAATTCTTGTGACTGTTTAGGTGAAACTATAAAAATTAATTTAAAAATGCAGGCTAAAAATTTACAAGAAAAGACATCACGAAATGTCATAGCTGAAATACGTGGTGTTACAATGCCAGAAAAAGTGGTTGTTGTGTCTGGTCATATAGACAGTTGGGATGTGGGTCAAGGAGCTATGGATGATGGAGGTGGAGCATTTATTTCCTGGCAAGCTTTGAAGTTGTTAAAACATTTCAATATTCAACCTCGTCGTACAATAAGGTGATATTCTATTATATTTAGAATATTTAATTATTATTCAATTAATTCCAATAATGTATCTATTAAATAATTGAATATACCTAATCTCTTGATGTCAACATATTTGCAATTAATATTTGTTTTGGTAAAATCTTTATAATTATATAATGTCTTATTGTATGTAACATACTGGGTTCTATGTATTATGGTTTACGTTATAATTTTAAATAGCAATTTGCATAAAATTAGCCTGTTTTAGACAAATTTGTAACAAATATATAATATTAGTAGTGGATGTGTCAAGGTCTAAAAGAAATCATATAAATAATTTTATTCTACAAATCTTACATGAAAAATTACAATTTATAGAATGGTTATGTGGACAGCTGAAGAGCTTGGTATTATAGGAGCTCGTCAATACATTGAATCTCATAAAGCTGAAAATTATAATCTTCAATTTGTCATGGAATCAGACATGGGTACATTTATGCCATTGGGTCTTGAATTTACTGGTACAGAGGAAGTAAAATGCATACTAGAAAAGATTATGAGGTTAGTGACACTCTAAAACTAATTGCATTTGAAATGTAAGTTGTTCATTATACATAATTTTTTTTAGTTTATTACATTCCTTGGGCAATATGAAACTACGTAGTCCTCAGCAAGGTCCCGATATTGTTTACTGGGTGGATGCAGGTATACCTGGAGCATCACTTTGGACACAGAACGAAAAATATTTCTATTATCATCACACAAATGCAGATACAATGTTGGTTGAGAATCCAGAAGCTCTTGATCGAGGAACAGCCTTGTTCGCAATAGTGTCATATTTGCTTGCTGATCTTAGCATTGATCTTCCAAGACATAAGTAACTGAAATATTTAATTATTATATAGTATAGTTAAAATTAATGATAGTTACCTAAAGAAAAAATAAACAGTGACATTATTGTACTCTTCTTTACATTAAAAATAAAGTCAATGAAAATTTTAATAATACGTTTCAATTATTTAATAACTAATTTCATAGTAATGAACACGTCATTGAGAAGCTGAGTAAACGTGAAACAAGACGTTGTATGATTTTCAAATTAGATTAAACAGAATTAACCAGATGCGTCAGCATAATATGCTAACAAAGAATTAATAAATGCTGTGGAATATTTTATGAGCTGATTGTAATATGAGTTCGTGTATTTGAATATGAAATTATATAATCGAAGTCACGCGAAGCCGATCTATATGAACTTTGAAAAGCAAAGTATATAAATATATCTGAAAATATATTTTGTTTAACAAGTTTAAGTTTATGTTCTATATTCATAATTTCAAAAGCTTAAAAATAATAAAAAGTATTTTAAAATTGTATTATAGTTTATTTCTTCCTTTTTTAAAAAAATTTTTGCAAATTATAAATGTACCAAGATCTACAGTTTAGTAAGAGATATATTATTATAAAAGACATAGAAAATGGAGGAACAGAGTAATATAGGAATAGAGAACAAGTTCATCATGATGTTCATAAATTATATTTATTTTAAATGTGCTCACTTTTACAGGGAATTGTCTCATAGAAATATTTAGGCCTAATTATCCATGTGGTCATAATATTTCACTATTGTCCCTAAATATTACAAAGTATTCATTAACCACATGGCTAGGCTCTGAACATATGTACCTGCAATTGGTCTTTCCGGTCAACGGAAAACATTAATAAAAACTTTGAACACCATATTAAATAGTTTTATTAATTCGCAGTCACTCTACATTATCATTCAGGATATTCTCTACATTACACTTTGACAGAACCTTTAACTGCTAACATAATTTTTGCCATTCATTTTGAATCATGTGGAAGAAGGGAAACAGTGTTGTTGTCCTATACAAAATACAACAGTTATATATTTGTGAAATGAAAGCGCTGTACATTCACTAGTCAAATGAAAAATAATTAGTTAGCAATTAGAGGTCATTTAATGTCTTAATCAGTCTCGTAAAAAAAACCACCAGCTTTGTTCATTGATTACCTATATCAATGTGTCTTCATCCTGATTTGGAAATACTATTAACAAAGAATGCTGAGATGTTGTTCTTTGACTAGAAGTCAGAAGTGCGGTTTTCTCTCCTCCACTTCCATTGATAGAACAATCCGGTGAACTGCCATCGAACGCTATAACGTTTGTCGTAGTGCTACTGGTCGAAGGCATATCGTTTAAATCCGGTGACGCCAACGGTGGTGCTTGAATCTGACGATTATTATTGTTGCTGCCATCCAACGATACCAGTTGCATGCTATACGATTCACGGTAGCCAGATGTACTGGAAGTATCTTCATCCCACGAAACGTCTGACGTTTGAAGGGTAAGATGGTGATGGTGGTGATGGGCGTAATGGTAATGATGATGCAGATTACTGTGTAATTGTTGTTGATCGTTCGGCACGATATTGTTTTTCTCGCCATCTGACTGATGAATAGTCGAACCTCGTCTTGAACGAATTGACGATGAATCCGAAGGGATGTTGAAGGAAGAAGGTTCCATTGTTGATGTCGGTGGTGTTGGAACTAAAGTTTGAGCAGTTGGCTGCGCAATCGATATCCCATCGCTTTGTTCTGGCTTCAGTTGTGGTACCTGGAAATGAAATTCCAATATTAAAAGGAATACATTGCTAAACATTCGCATCATTGTTATTACATTATTACTTTTATTATGTTATTATAGTAAGTATTATTACATTAATGCTTTTATTACTGTTATAAACAAAGAACAAATGTGATTTAGAATTTTATGAGTAAAAAGTAACACATATATTTATATCATGTGCTAACAAATAGAAGAAATTATAAAGACATTTTAAATTCTTTGTATTGAGCACACTTGATAATTAATTAGAAGGCAGATGAAGATTAGTATAATTTTAAAAAATTATATAAAAAAGTGTGTTTTCGATGAAGTCGGATTATGTGTATCTATGAATGATTTAGTTAAAATCATCTCACCTCAATATGTGTTCTTCGACTTTTTCTTACTCGGAAAGTCTTTTTACTTTGACCCATAGAGCGTTGCAATCGAGGCTTGTCTGGACGACATTCGCCGGAACTGTCCTCGTTTGGACTGGTGGGGCTGAGTTGACTCGTCAATGTCTCTCCTATCAAAATAACATTCAATTAGTTCTCCTTTATCATTGAATATTTCTCACTATGCAATCTATCCATGCTTGTTTTTCGAAATTACTAATTTCCAATCCGATGCATTTTTTTGGATTAAAGTATAAAATAATATTCCGTGAGCTATGATTATTTTAGCATGGCACTATGTCTACTGTCACGAAATTTTTCTTTGATAAATATACTTTGTCTAATTTGCACGTCGGCGTTCGGTAATTTCTACTTGTTTTAAAATTTTGTACAAGAAATGATTATGTTACAAATATTTTCATATTGTAAGTATTTGCGTTGCACATTTTCCTGCCGACTTTTGTTATTTCTTGTATAAAATATTTTCAAAACAGTATAACACTTCGCGAATTCTTCAGTAATATGTCACCAGAAGTTTATTTTGGAAACTAGTAAGTAGCAATTAAAAAGTCTCACCTTTTAAATGCACTCAAAATACATCAAACTTGATTTAAAGTGTTTCAGTAAGTATGAAAAGTTTGTGGTTACTCATACGTGTTATTTAATTGATTATGAAAAATGAGTGTGAGAGGATAATAGTAAAGCGAGTATTTGATAGATATAGAATATCGATAATGCCAGGAGTACCGGGGAAAATAGGTTTTCCACAAATATGTCGCTAAAACATTCGTGTTTAAAATACGTAAATAGGATATACTTGTATCATTAAATATTCCTAATTGAAAAGTTAAACAAGTAATGTCCTTGATAAAAGTTGAATGAAATATGAGCCCACTAATGATAGTGATAGTGAAACCTAAATACTTAAATGGCACACAAACAAAAATATTAAGTAAAAAATTCATTTAAACTTTGTGCAGTTGTGCTCCGTAAATTATACCTAATTTGCAATTTTAAATTATATACATATTCAGTAGTGTACAATGGCAAAATGAAAAATGATTAACTGGATTATAGTAAAGAATATGTACATATTTAACTGAAATTGTCTCATATTTACAGTTATACATAAGTATTATTTTCATTAAATATCGTTATAAACGAAAACGGCACGTCTTTGTTTAAAGAGCTACTTTAGGGGATTGTTGTACATAGTAAGTTGATATATCGTTAAACATAAATGCATGGAAGAATAAATGAAATAGGAACAGACGTTATTATAACGAATTATTATAACATATGTATAACATTTAAGAACAAATTAAATATAAAAGATTTTAATGGTATTTTTTAAATTGCTCAATTTTCGTTTATAACAAGTCTCGAAGAAAATGTATAAAAAAAGTTTCCAACATATAGTTAAGTACACGTGAATATTTTTTAAATAATATTGGTGCTTATTAATTTTTTATGAAGGATAGTTTAGAAGCAAATAATAATTTTACCAATATAATGTACAATTATTTTTAAATAGAGAATAGCACATTGTCTTGCTACTGTTTGTACATTTATTTTTAATCAATATTTTCGTTGATGAAATATTTGTCTTGCATTGTTATATGTATGTACAAATGTATAGTATTTTCTGTACGTTTTATTATCGAGGCTTTTGGGTGTGTTAATTTTTGGGAAAATTATCCTAATCCTTATTATTAATTTCGGAAAAATAGATAACACTACAACTTTCTAGTTATAACACTTAACCAATTATTAATACATTTAGAATAATATGTTCGGTTTTGACAGAAAATGATTCATGAAAGATAAGTTATGGTTATGGTATACGAAAGAAAAATTAATACTTTTTTCATAAATAATAAAAATTTATTAGTAACATATAAGTAAACATAAGTTAACTAAAATTCTGTGAAACTAATTATATTTTATATGTTGTTTTAAAATTGTAGTATTTACCAATTATTGACAATGAATTTTACAAGTCGCTGGCAAAATGTTTATATATCTTCTAAAACTATCCTGTAGAAATGGTCATTTATATGTATCATGTGCAATATTAAATATGCTTGAAATGATTAATATAGTTTACTCTAATTATCTGCAACTATATAATATTTATTTAGAACAGGGGCTCGGAATTTACCTGATGAGTGTCTAAATTCTACAGAAGAGAGAAAGCGCAGTTTTGGCGCCTTTTGATGAGTTAATATAGGATGAGGCTTAACATGGTTACGTTCATCGCTAGTAGAAGGTGGTTGGGATTTATCTGAAACATGCCACATTCAACGACTAGAATGAAAGGAAAGACCAAAAATAAGACAGACCATGTGGTAGTGGTATCGTTATGTCAATATATTGTCTTTAACGATGATTGTGCATCGTTGCTAGCAAATAGAACAGACGTAATCAATAGCATAAGTAAAGTACCTTTACATGTACCTTGCCAGAATTTTTATTATTTTAGTATTGAGCTGACATGTAACGAAAAATTATAATCAAAGACTATATTTAATTTAAGACTATATTAATAAAGCATATATACTTTGTGAAGAACAGTAACACTGGAATATTCATTTATAGTTATTATATCATTTACATTAATAATCTACTTTTGCTTAAAAACTTTTTCTGTTTTCAATTATCATACGCACTATCTGGCTAAATAGCGTTAAACGTCCTATACCAGATTGATTATATACAAAAATAAAAATTGAAAATTCAAAGAAGTAACTGTCCAATACTTTTTGTTATGGGATGCGAGAAACGGGATTGTGTCGATTATGGAAGATTTGCGAAAGTTAATATTTATGATACCTATTAACAGAAAATAATAAAATCTATTGTTCCAATGAGTATATGTAAATTATATAGAGTTGAAACATCAGACACACACACACGCATATATATGAGACGTATGCATCTGTTTATCTGTGAATGAAGATTGCTGAGTTAGTCTGTATGGAAGAAGATCAGCTTTCGATTAGAGAGATTGTCGTGTGATCTGGTAAAACAAGAAAGCAGTAAAGAGTCGAAGCAACTACGTTGTGGTAAGATATATCTACTTAATGATGAATTGGATACCAACTGTTGGACATTACCATTGTCTAAATACTGCTATGTAAATTTATTACGATCGTGTACTAAACGTGACGGGAAAATAGCAACTATGATAGAAAAGTAATCTAATGAAGATTACCGTGAAAATGAGATTCGTGTATACCTTATAATGAACATTATTGTACTGTCCAATGTGGTTGAAATATCAAACATGTTACAAATATTATTTGTTTAAATTCATTAATTTTCTTCGTAGAATCGTATCAATAAGATGAACTTTACTGTTCCATTTAAAACGTCTACAATCATGACAAATGAATATAAATAATAACAATTATAATGAAATTATGAATAATGATGATGATGATGATGATGATGATAATGATGATGATAATGATGATGATAATGATGATGATAATGATGATGATGATGATGATGATGATGATGATGACGATGATAATAAAAGGTACGGTAAAGACACCAATAATTGACTTAGTAACATTAATTGACTATTTTTCGGGAAAACGTGAGAAATAAGGTTTTTAAAAGTAATAATCTTTGAATAAAGGTGCGACAGATATGCTGCAGCATCTACCATCCCAACTTCGAAACACATACCTGAATTAAATTGTTTATCGTAAAAACTAACGATTTATTTGTAATTTCAATATTAACTTCTGTTCACTTGTATTTGTTCTTTTACTTGTAATTTGTCATAATCGTTGCAAATAAACAATATTAAAACCTTTAGTGTTTTTGGTTTTACTGTAAGTGGTCAACTGCTAAGATATGGTCAGCCATTAGTTTTCTTATTTCCAAGGATGGTCAACTTCTGACGCAAGTTTTCAAAAATATCTATAAAATTTGGGTAATAAAACTATTTCAAAAAAGTTCGCTTTGTTACATAATGTAAGACGTTCAAACAGCATTTTCACGCATAGAGTCTTTCTATTCAATAAAGAAGCAAGCGTTTACTATTATTCGCGCAGAAAGTTTTCCTTAACTGGTCAACTATTGATACTTTTACCTTACTCCGCGTTGATCGCGAGAAGAGCTCCGGGTCAGCACAAAGGCAAGAGCGGTTTATCGCTAGGGATTTCATTTATGGTTTTCATTGATTATGTGTAACTGTATTGATGAATAGCAAATTAGTATGGAAAATTAGATAAGAATAGATGAAAGCTGACGAATGCGACCCGCATTCCTGCCAGGGCCTTTGTCGTGAATAACGCGGAATAACGATCCCAACAACAACAAAAAGGATTCAATCATCCGGCGTCCGTCAGGGATGAGCAAGTGGGCCCCGGAATTTTATTATCCATCGACTGCAGTGCTACGCTGGTTGACCACTTGGCCAGCGTAGCACCAGATGCTATTTACAAGTGAAGAAACCCAGGGACATCGATCGGGCAATCTTATTTAACCCCTTGACTTATAATATCGTGTTAAACTCGTGACGAAAGTTTTAAACTGAATTGATAAATCTAAGTGTTATTTATTTTTTTTCAAATACAAATTAAATATTAGTTTTCTTTATTAATTATTAACCTTTGTAGTAAAACGTAGACATATAATAAGTATAAAAATTTTCCTAATAAATTATTAACGATAAAACAATTATATCGATCATAGCAGAGAAATAAATCATAAGACAAGGGGTTAATAAGAAAACATTGTACAATGAGAATGACAATAATAATAATAATGAACGTATATTATAAGCATAAATAAACCCCAATTACTCCAAACAGTGTATTGTTATTTTTAAAAGTGGTTTACTTGTAGATACTAAATAATAAGGCACAATTAAATTATATCATATTAACATGTTTGAATATACACTTGAAAAATGTAATGAATCTCTGTTCACGGAAATAATAATAAAACAGCAGCAAGTGTGAACGAGAGAGACACAGAAAGGGGAAGAATAGTGAACAAAGATATGACAAAATTATATACGAGATACGGAGAAGCGTAATAAGTAGACTGCGGATGTTCATGCATGTATACAATTTTATAGAATACAGAGAAATATGTGAAATTTCGACAGAATTTTGTTTTGTTATTAAAGAATCAGAAGTATATGATTTTTATTTTGTAGGTTTTAGAATTTTTTATTTGGGAATATATGTATAGAAGAATATAGTATTAAATACTGCATCTTGTGTGTTTGCATCCTATAAATTTCATTTCGTCTTTAAATAAATTCCTCAACTGTAATTACAATATTAATATACACATCATGATATATCTTCTACCTGTTTATAAATATCTGATTCAAACGAAGTTGAGAGAAGGCACACAGGAATATCTTGAATGGAATAAGAAATTGTAACATTGTAGCTGAAAATTTTAGTTGATATTTGATTTAAATTGTAGTATTTCAAATTTTGACAAAGTGGTCAGATTATCATATTGTTCTAATGTATACGGTGAAATGCATTTACAATGATGGAGAGATAAATAAGATCTCTAAGTTTCTTTAGATACACTGGTGCACGAAAGTATTTAAAATTTATGTACTATTTGTAATAGAAATGAATATTTCAGATCTGTTATTCGATTTCAATGAAATGTGTACACACAATTCTCACATGTATTCTAATCGTACGAAAATTTCAAAATATCTACTATTTGGCGAGCACGACATTTCCATTATAAATATCTCTATGGACTAGTGTATACCTAATGTTTATTAAAAGATGAGTTCAAATGAAAATGTAGTTTTAAGTGAGAATCCTGAATTTATGAAGCATTACTTGTTCTGATTATGCACCTCGAAACATGGAGACCCTTTGAAACATGTACGATTGAAAAATGTATATCAAAAAGTAAAACTACTAAAAATAAATATCAATTGTGAACAATTTAATGTATAGAAAAATAGTTTTATATAATGAATATTTTTTGTGCGTATTACGTGCATAAACATCCGTAGTTTAATGATAAGGGAACACACCAGCGGGACGTTTATCATAGATTTTGTCAGTGTTTACTAATAGAATCCGCTTACCTCCGTTCCCTAGCTAGCAATGAAAGCAACGCAATGATCAATGTGTCAATATAAGATCGAACAGGAAGCCCCGAACAATGGAAAGTGAAAAAGAAAACTATACAAGCGATGCAAACTGAATTAACCCCTTATAGTTCCGAACGTAAACATTGTATCTTCCAAGAATTTTCAATTTTTCATGCGTAAATTTCAATTTCTGAATCAAAATAAACCAAAATGGTATTAAAAATTTGCAAATGGTAAAAGGAAATATTTATTAAATAGAAAATGATAAATTTAATTTCGTAAATTAGGAATGTTCAAGTTAATAAAGAATTGTTTGTTTGTCTCTGAAATTTTCTCCTATAAAGGGTTAAAGCTAATCTTAACGTTTGACTCGATGAAACGAAAAAGTTATATTTGAAACAAAAGATTATCTCGCAAGCCTCGCTATTGACGGAAATGAAATGAAGCAATGCACCCTCGGTTACATAATGTTGAAAAACGTTGTAGACAGAAAGAAAAGGGTATCGCGAAAACGTTGAAAATTCCGTCGCAGTGTCCTGTAGACAATGGCTCGATCCAACTGTGGTAAACGTCTTGCAATCACTTAGAAAAACACCGAAACATTTATGAGAGGCTTGCAGTCGCACTGAAAGTATTTAAAGTTCGGGACCGTTTGGTAAATTATTATTTAAAAATCGATACCTGTGACGGGCAGTTGTTCTGTGTGTTGCTCGGTAGTACCGACGTCGCTGGCTTCGCGAAGAGTGGACGAGCCCACGCTTGTGCTAGAAATCGATCCTGAAAATAAGAACAAGCACAGCTTTAAAAATTCATTGTACTCATGTATTTAAAAATTCATAAATAAAAATGCGAGAAGATCAATGAGAACATCAATTTACTACAATATATATTGGTTTGATGCATAAGTTTTGATGTTTTAGTCTATCAGCACAAGTCTATTTTTCTATAAGCTTATTTATTCCATCATTGTAAAATCCTTGTGATTTCGAAGAAAAAATAGATTCAGTGCTATCTTTATTTGCTCCAAAAAGCGTCAAAAGTTTCGCATTAACTCAATATATTATGATGACCCCAGAAATACATAATATAATACAGTTTAATTTATAAACTTAAATTAAAACGATAGTCTAAAATATTTCACTTTGTCGATTTAAACACGTTTAAATGATTTAAATTTGCTATCAGAAATTAAATTAATTCATTCGATTTTTAAAAAATAATATAAATGAGATCGTACCTCGTGTAGTATGTATACCATTTGGTGGTGCTGATACTTGACTCGGTTGAGTTACTTTAATGGTACTGCTCGAATTTGATTGAAGGGTTGAATGAGGGGCAGACTGGGGAACCGTAGCATGAGAAATCGGAGTTTCTGCGGGCGTACGATTCGTATGAACTCTGGATCCATGATCTCCGGTTAAAAGATCCATTAATAATGATGGCCTTTGAGTCCGAGGTTGTCCTTCGTTGGTAGAGTGCATGTCTGCTAGGCTTCTCTTTGGTTCTGGTTGCATTTCGTCTGAACACAACAAAAATAATTATGTAGTTAACATTCACGTATAACATCAACAAATTAAAAAATATAAACTTATTAACCTGTTATCCGTGGAATTTAGTTAAAAAAATCTGCTGTCTTGCGCGCAATAAAATGAAAAAATGGAGTGTGTATTCGTCTAACGAAATATGTGAAAATAAGTAACGAAGGTAAGTAAATGCTGAATAATTAATAGAATATAAATTTAGAGTACGAACCGAATCTCCGATCTTCTATTTCTTCTTTAAGATCTTTCAGTTCATGTATGAGGTCAGTCAAAAGAGTACTGCGAGATTTTGGCACTGTTTTAGTATCTCCATTAATTTTTGCGCGTATGGTACTTTGCATATTTCTCTCGTGTTCCGAAATTGGTGCTTGGCCGATTTTATGCACGGTAAACGGAAGCATTTGAATGTACAATGCGGTTCGATGAGTCACTACAAATTCTATAAAATTCCAAAGATAAGTGGAAGCTTCGTTTCGCTTATTCAATAGCCGCATTATGCGTAAAATTTTCGGCCATTCCGTTTTTAATTCGGTTTCGAAGCATATAGTCATAATTTTCAAAGCTGTAGGAAATAAATCCGATCGTTTAGAATTACTGGCTACGTTTGTAAATTAGAAATCGTTTAAAGTTCCGTTACCTAAAAAGGCCACTTGATATAACGTCAACGACGTTTTCGTTAAAGTCTTTGAATCTCGTGCTACAAATGTTAAACTACCCGTTCTCATATCTGTTGTGGTTTTCAAATTTTGGGCGGTCACTGGAACTGACTTCGTGGTTGGTGGCCACAGTGTGTTCAATACTGCAGTTAGAGCAAAATTTATATCCGTTTGCCTTAACTTTTGTACATCTGGAACAAAATAAAGGCAACAAAGTATATTATTTTCTGTATCAAGTTTATCTAGGGCAGTAGTTTACTTTTCAAGTTTTTGAATGCATGTTTTTAGAATATTTAAAGTTCGCTGATACGTGATTCTTTTTATACCTTATTCATTTTTAGAACAGAACATTGTTACGAATACACTCATTAAAACAAATTTATAGAGGATGAAGTAAAAATAAACGATATTTTTTCAATTTAATACACCCATCTCACAAAGTTTCATTCAAATCGGCGACTCTGGATTCGCGATGTTCCCTTATAAATATGTAGTCACTTCACTTAATATTCGTGCGTTACCTTTTCTTCCAGTTCCCACGCGTAAGAATAACGGTATCAATAAGTTAAGTAACGTGTTTTCTGTTCGAGGTTGAGATGCAAATATAGAGTGGCCGCCACACACAGTTTCGAGAGAGTATCCTTCACCGAGGGATATAACATGAAGAGCTATCAGTCGAAGTACTGTCGAGCAAAAATGTTGCGGCGGAAGTTTGTTCATGGAAGCAGCTGGAGATGCTGAAGTTGAATCTTCCACAGGCGTGTCTCCAATAATTAACGACTACATGCAAATGAATGTGTGTAATTAATAAACACATTATTAAACACTATCATTTTAATTTGCATGTTTTAGGATTACGTTAAACTTCTTAAGTTTCACAATATTCATGACATCAAATTATTTTAATATTACCACATGTATTCTATTTCTTCTAAAAATATATAATTTGTGACATAAGAATGCGCGCGCGATTTAGTCTCGAAACAAATTTTTTAGTGTCCGTAGAGGCATTTATGTTTGCAAAATTTTCGAAATTAAAACCTATGTTTATTTTCACGTCCGCAACATAATAAAAAAACTTTGAACTTCAGCAATTTTTTAGCGAAATCTGATTCTTTAATTTTGTACATACGTAAGTATATAAGTATCTATATAAGTTGTTCTACTATATTATATTATATTCTTGGTTAAATAAATACCTGGCAGGTACTCAGTAATGTTTTTAAATATTGAAAATGCGCAATATAGGGACATCTGGATAACGTTTCATAAACCCCTTTCAAGAGATCACTCGCAGCAGTCCAATCTGTATTTCTTCTAATCGAGGCTTTTTTGTGTATTTTGCTAAAAGTTTTGTCCAACCTTCTCAAAATCATAGTTAGTGCAGGTCTCATATCGTCATTGGACCACTCGGTTGATGGTAAAATATCGTTCATGTATCTTCTTAAGCCACGGCATCCCATTGTTCCCGGATCGTACGGGGATATCTTCAATAGACTATGCGCAATGTCTGCTAATCGCTATCGGTTATACACAAAATGTCATCAGAATTTTAATAAACATGTTTATTAGTAAAATAAAAAATTACTTACTATGTGACATTTCGAATCTAATAACTCGATCATCTTTCCATCTTGAGATTTTTTATTCAATTCAATCAAACGAGCCGAGCACCGAGCTACAAAATCTCCTACCATGTTTAAAAGCGTATCACGTGGTCGGCGAAATTCATTTTTATGGCAATTTTCTGCATCCTCAAGATCTCGATCATAGAAGGTTTTAATTTTAGAGTGCTCCATGTATTTTGTATTATGAGTCTCATCTTCGAAATCAAAACCGGGTGAATACGGGACCTTGCCGTAATTTCTTTGACTGGATCCTTTGTGTTCAGGACTTGATTTTTGCGGTCCGTTATAATATCTGATGAAAAAACAGTTCCATTAGTACGTGATTTAAAAAACATCGTTTCATTAAAAAGTTAATAACTGCAACTTACTTCGTAAGTGCCTCTGAATTATTAACCAAAGTCTTAACAGCTATAGCCAGTTGATCTATTATTTCTTTTTCAGTTTTCCCGTCTTTATTGTAAGTTGGAGATTGAATTTGTTGAACGTAACACGGTAGTATTGCTTCCAATATAATCTACGAAATCAATGAATATCAATGAAATATCATTTGTCTGCTGATTTCATATTTAATACATAATAATTGTTTACTCTTAAATGAAAATTTTTAGGTATTCATAAGAATGTTTCTTTATGGGACTTGTTCTGCATAAAATCACTTCTTACCAACATTTGTTGCCCTCTGACAGAATCAGGTGCATATGCTATCACCATTACACAAAGAGATATGCAATCTAAAACATTGACCATTTCATTTTCATCGTGATAACAAAAGTCAATAGCTTTTAAAGGCTTTTCCTCTTTCACCAACTCGTCTATGTTTAAAGGATCCGGTGATGGAGTTTCCAAGCTTAGTAACAAATTGAATAAACACGTAGCTGGAACCTTCAAACGTACAAAAGCTCGTGTAAACATTGTGTCTAATGTTTGGCAACTGTTTACAATAATGTTAACTACAAAAATATCAAATATAAAATATCAGATTTTATTTAAAAATTTTGACGTGACCATTGCAAGACGCTTCAAGGTTATTCGGAGGTCAAAAAATAACTTGCTATACAGCACACAATACTCTATACGATATTAATTAACATTAATATAGCTGCAGTTATAACATATGGTTTAATAATATTAGTTTGAGTTTAATAAGAATAATATTAGTATAGTTTAATAATAGTTTAATAATATTAGTTGGAAATATTTTTTCATATCATCAGTACTTATTCAGAAGTTTGAGCGTTTCCATTTAAACTGGACATACTGTATGTTGTTTATGAATGTATATAAGTATGTATGCAAACATCTACATACTTATATCTATAGTATATAGTATATGTATCAGTAAAATTGTTCAAAATGGCGACCGTGATAACGTGTATAGAAATCATATATTGAACTGCAAACAATATAAAATGTAATAGTATTTCATATTTTCTCGTACATTTCAGCAAAATATATAAAGGTCTGTAGTCTATTTCCAAGTTTACAGACCCACCAATAAGTATGCGTAGATTTAACACGTTCACGTCGGCGCTGTAATTCGGCGAAATTCTTAACATTTTTGAAAATATTAAAATTACCAACAAGTAAATTAATTTTCAACTATATAGTAATTTTTTCTATTTACCAAACCAGTTTAACAAACTACATATTCGATGGTAATTACACGCTGTCTAACGTAACATTGAAATGCAAGTCATCATATTTTTCCCGTAATTCCTAATATAATCATCGAATGCCTAGATTGCGTATTAGTTTCCATTGTTCGATTGTAGACGTCGCAGCGGCGTGAACGCGTTGAGGTTGAACCTGTTATAAAATAGGTATACATACCTTGTGTGCTTCTCCGTGAACACTAATTTCATCTGTGTCTAGTATCGTTGAAACACTACCGAACATTTGAAGGATAAATGGCTTTCGATTCATGAGATAAAATTGTTTAACGGCGTACTCCACAGTGGTTGTTACTAGTTTGTTCGTTTGATGGGTTGCATATAATTGCAGCAGCGTCGGTATAATTAGTAAGTATCCGTTGGTTGAAAAAATATTTTTGAAATTGTGTGCTGCGTTTATGTACGTTGCGACAACGTAACGCAGAATGCAAGAATCTTCGCTGTGAAGAATTATTGCGCCGTTTAAAACGTTTAAGAATAAATGAATGTCTCCTGAGTAAGCGAAGTTGCCCGCCATTGCCTCAAACATTCTGGCGATTAATTTCACCCACATAAATTTGTGCATTACGTCCAAGCCAAGGAGTTCCTAGAAAGAAAAAATACGTAATATAATTTAAAATATAAGTGTAATAAATACGGATATGAATACAGATATAAATATAGATATAAAAATAGATATAAATATAAATGTAAATATACATATAAATATATACACAAATATATATATAAATATAAATGTAAATATACATATAAATATAAATGTAAATATACATATAAATATATACATAAATATATATATATATATATATAAATATA